TAGGTGCCATTCTCAGGGAGTCAAAAGCAGGAATTAAATTACATTTCTGCATAGTGTGGCACTTCTAAATAAACAGAATGAAAATAAACATTTCCCTGGCATCAGGGAAACTTTTCGGGTAGTGATTCTCAAAATTGTATTCCTAGCAGCATCAGCACCTGAGATCTGCTGAGAATAAAAATTCTACAGTCTCACCCAGTCCTGCTAAGTCAGAACCCTTAGAGGTCATCAGAATAGGCAGTCTGAGCGCTAACAAGTCTTCCCGGGGACTCAAGTGCACATGAAAGCTCAAAACAGTGCTTTTCAGGCTGGGCACACAGCTCGGCTGGGAAAATCCTTGCCTAGCATGTCCTAAGCCCTGAGTTTGATTATCAGCACCCCATAAATGAGTGTTTTTACATGCCTGTAGTGCTGTCCTGGGAGGTAGGAGATTACGGAGTTCCAAGTCATCCGCTTCCACACAGGACGTAGGAAGCCAGCCTGATGTGCTCGAGACCACCTCAAAACAACCAAAAACAAACAAACAAAAACCCAGTGCTGTAAGGTAAGGATGGATTGATTCCTTTTCCTTCCTTTTCTTAAGACAGGAACTACACAACTCGGGCTACCCATGCTATAAAGCTGAGGATGACCTAGCTCTTCCTGTTTCAATCTCCTAAGGGCTAGAATTATAGATGTGCACTACCACACCCAGTTTAAGTTTTTCTTGAACCTTTGACATCTGCTCTACTAGTCAGTGATGAGTGCCAGCATCCATCACCGCAGTAGAAGAGGGGGCCGACTGGTTTGCCCCTGGCTGTGCAGTCCTGGAGATTCCTTTACCCTTCCAGCTGCAGTCTCATTTGTAATGTAAGAAAGAAAGCAGTACTTACCTTATAAGATTGCCATAAAGCTGAGACATTGCTTAGCACATCTAAGTGGTCAGTTATGCTGGCTATTATTACTAGGAATAAAGAAGATTCACAAAGCCCACCATTTCATGGAGTAGTTTGATTCCCAGCTAGGTTTTTCCAAGGCCATGATTTTATATCGTGTGTGTGTGTGTGTGTGTGTGTGTGTGTGTGTGTGTGTGTGGTGATAAACTCAGTCTTCATGTTTCTAGATTCTAAGAGTTGGTGTGTCCCAAAGTTCTCCAAGGATCCTTGAGGTCAAGGCCAATCCTACACTCTATTCATCATCCTGTACAGAAATGGCCTTGCTGGTCAGACATAAAGTTGTTTATACCTTGTTCAACATGTGACCAGGTGCCCAAACGTAGAGCCCCTCGGCAAGTAAATGGAATAGTCTGGTGCTGGTCCTCGTGGAATGGTGACACTGGAAAGGTATGGGAGAGTGGTGACTCCCAATAGGGCTCTAGGTACAAAAGGCCACCCAAGTCAAAAATACTAGTATGTATTTTATTTATTAGTGCTAGGGATGAAACCTAGAGTCCCATATATGCTAAGTATGCATTTTACCACTGGGGGAAAAAACACCCTAGACCAGCATGCTTTAGATGCCACTTCCAACTTCTGGTTCCTTCTTAGTAGAATCTGAGCTCTAAGGGTTCTGGAAGTTCATCCTATTTTCTCCTCTCTCACTGAACTAAAAATAGTATCTACAGAGTAAGCACTCACCAAACTAGTTGCTAATTAGGAGGAACAAAGGCCGCTCTTTGACAAAACAAAAATCCGGGTATGCCAATTGAGCTTTGGTGGCCACCATTTAGAGCTATAATGGGCAGAAGGGCCAGGTCGCAGTCAGGCATTTCTTTCAAGCTACAAACTCTTTTCACTTACATTATGTGGACATATGTATGCCTGTATGTGGATATGTGCGTGTGAATGTAGGTGCACATGAAGGCTGAACGTGAGGGACCCCCCTGGAGCTGGTGGCTGTGAGCCACTCGACATAACAAGAGCAATCAACTGCTGGGCAGTATCTCCAGCACCTGCTTTCACTTTTGAGACTGAATTTCATTAAAGCTGGCCTCAAACTTGTGATCCTTCCACCTTAGCCTCCTGTGTTCTGGGATTATAGGTGGCAACACACAGGGTGGCCAGTGCCTCTTTCACGACCGGGGGGTGGGGTTCCTACTATAATTTAGGCAGAGGTGGGTTTGGGTTAGGGACCAGCCTGAAGGCACATTTAGTGGCCTTCAAAACCGGGTGGTGGTGGCGCACGCCTTTAATCCCAGCACTTGGGGTGCAGAGGCAGGCGGATCTCTGTGAGTTCGAGGCCAGCCTGGTCTACAAGAGCTAGTTCCAGGACAGGCTCCAAAGCTACAGAGAAACCCTATCTCGAAAAACCAACCCTCTCTTCCCCCCAAAAAAGGTTGGCCTTCAAAACCTAAAACCAGGGGCTGGAGAGATGGCTCAGCGGGGTTAAGAGCATTGCCTGCTCTTCCAAAGGTCCTGAGTTTGATTCCCAGCAACCACATGGTGGCTCACAACCATCTGGAATGAGGTCTGGTGCCCTCTTCTGGCCTGCAGGCATACACACAGACAGAACATTGTATACATAACAACAACAACAACAACAAACCTGAAACCAGAAACAAAGCTGGTTAAATCCTCATCTCTCATTCATCCTTGGGAAACAGCTCTTTAACCCAAAGATTTCTTTGCACCCTCTTACCCTAGTCTCTGGTTCCTCAGGTGTCAGTGTATCACTATGCACCCTGTTCAAAGTTCTACAGCATTCTTAGTGTGTCAGAGCAGGTCATCGTGTAGTGAACCAAGGCTACAATGCACAAGTTGCCAAGTCACGAATACTGAGCTTCCTGTGTTCCTAGGGAGGCCCTCCCTAAACAGACACCCTTGGAACCTTTGCTCACACCAGCACAGTAAATGCCCTCTACAGCCTTTCCCGCCTGTCCAGGGCACAGTACTATTCCTCCTAATCAAAGCAACTCCCACCCCGGCCCAAGCAAAGAGGCAGTTCCTCGGTGCCCACCTGGAAAGGACTCAAAGGGCAGTGTAACTATTAATGTGACCCCTTCAAGTTTGAGCCTTGAAAGGTTTTAGCAAGTCGTTTTACTTACTGCTTTATGGCTCCAGCCAAAGGCCAAAGGGGTAGCCTAGTATACAGATGTGCTCAACACCTACAGGTCTCATGAGCTGCTGTTTCTCCTACTTTCAAGTGTGTACTGGGCACACACTAGTTGAAATGCCTTCTATTTCTGGCTTGGTTACAGCTAAGAGTGGGGAATCAAGCTTATTCTTAGGCAGAGAATGGGGAAACATGAAGAGGCCCTGGCCTAGGATGCATGAGCTCCGATGGTGACCATCCTGCAATAGGTCAGGAGCCTTTTTAAGGCCCGAGTAACATCTTACTAAAAAGATCAAGTGCCTTAGTTCCAGGTTAGGATTCCATTTCAACAGTATACACAAGATGAGCAAGGAAGGCTTACTACAGAAAAATTCTGCTCCAAAATGTCATAGTAATTAGCAGTGTGCTGAACACATGGTTATTATGATTTAGAACACTATGGTAGTCATTTAGTCAAAATCCTTTCTGTTGCATGTAGTGACAAGTCACTTCAGATTCACATTTTAAAAAATCCAGATGCATTCTAAGTATAGCCCAAGGATGAATGAAGGCCAAGGCAAGGATACAGGACTGGATGAAGAAACCAAGACCCCTCCAGGTTTACCAAGGCCTCCTGGCTCTCAGGCTTGTTCACCAGAGCCAACTCCTGCCTTGGGAAGTAGCCGTCTAAGTCATCACCCAGGCCATCTTCCCAGGTGGGGATCAGTGTCTCCTTCATGCAAAAGCCTTAAAATACAGAACCATCTTTGGGCATTCCAGTCAGGTCATCCCTGGCTTAAACAGCCAATGAGAAGAGTGACGAGGGTGAGGACAGAAAGCCACTGAGGGTGCTGAGCCAGGCCGAGTCTCCACAGGGCCTTTAGAGATATTGGCTGCTACATCAGTTGTTGACACTGAAACAAACCAGCAAAGAAGCCTGGTGTGGAGGCTGTGTCTGTAATCCCCAGATTTTGGGAGGCTAAAGCCTGGACTACACAGTGAAACCTTGTCTCAGAAAACTAAAAACAACAGCAATGAAGTCTGTGATTCTCTACAGTTCAGAGTCCTCCTTCTCATAAAGTATCTATGGAACTAGTCAAAAGTTCTAGTAAACAGTTTACATCTCAAAAGCCTTCCTGGGTACTGGAACTCAAGCAGAAAATGCTGCTTCCTGCTCCACTGCTCTTCACTGGACATGGCTGACACCTGCTGTCATGTTCACCATCTCCTATAGGAATGATGAAGACAAGCCAAATCACAATGTTGTCACGCTCGCATTGGTAAGGTGACTTTAACAACCTGCTGACATCAATGGCATGGTAAGAGCGAAGTTCAAATGCTTTAGACCTAAAATCCCTGCCAGGCATCTTTTTGTGGATAGACACTGCATAGAACATGGTGGGTGCTCAATGTTAGGTCAATTTTATGCTAATTTGAAAATGAGGTCAAGGACCTAACATACAGTCGGTGTAATAGCTTTGGGTCACTCTGCTTCTATACCTCACAGGAGGCAGAGCAGAAAACAAAATCAATCTCAATTTTGCTCATTTCCCCTTAGACATAGCTTATAAATACTGACATCTCCAGCTCGGATACACAAAATGCAGACAAAGAGATCACTAGAAAGTATTTTAACAAAAAGCACTAGTTAAAATAGCCTAGAATATTACAGAAATGTTTACTCTAATACATGCAGAGGTGGGAGGAGTCAGTCAGAATCACATTTTACTCTATGATCTTTATATTGCTTTTCACTTAAAAGTTTGAAGCAATGTGAAATGGACAGAAATATTTGGCTAAAAGAACAAAATGAGCCACCATAGCACATATATTGAAAAAAAACCTCTCATCTATGCCTACATACAAAGACAAGACCATGTCCAGTAGTGGATCATATCCTGGGGTTTTATAAAGTGAATGGAATATTAGGAAGGGTCAATATATTTCAAAAGAAGAGCCATAAATGCCCTAAAAGCAGGAAGTTGACACCATTTTAAATATAATTCATATATATATATATTTAAAATCAAACACAATTAAATAGAATATAGTTTAGGTACATGAATACTTCAGAATAACAGAGGTGGTACACAGTACCAAAAACTTATACACAACCTTTTTGTTTCTTCTGTTGATAAACAGTGTGCCTCTATACAATCAATATTGCAATGAAATAAATTCTCTATTCATTCAAGACTTTCCCAAGGACAGAGGTGATTAATAATTATATATATATATATATACACACACACACATAAATATATTCTTTTGCAAACTCTGAGCAAAAGCAGTAACACCTAAGAAAACTTCCTTTCTCTTTAAAATGTCACATACAGGAAGCACTGGCACCATATGGCCAGGGGAGTGTGCTTGCCAACTGGGTGGCCCCACCAACGACCGTGCTACAGGTGCAAAGCCAACTAAGCAGAAGGGCAGCGAGTGAGTTTCCGACTGTCTGAAAACAGAAAGGGAAAGGCAACTGCACATTTGCCACTCACAGTGAAGAATTGTGGAGACACTCAAAAGCGAGTGCTTCTTTCCCCGCCTTATTAAAAAAATAAAATCAAATCTAAGAATGTGTTCCAAGTGCCGCATGGGAAAAACTGGAGTCATAGTTATTTTTTTCCATGTGTATTCCGAAGAGGGAATGAAGTATTGGGAGCATGGCATTCCTATGGAGGAATGGGTCTTGATGTTCAAAGTAAACTAAATTTGCCCTTTTGCTAGCAGAGGAGAGACTAGCTTTAAGGATGTAACATCACAGGAGTGAATGAAATGTGAAAATTGTGTCTGTCACCAAAGAGAAGGATGACATCACGAGGCCTGACCCATGACTTGTCGCTCTTTCTAAATTAATGCCTCTGTGAAGGAAGACTACACAAGGGATCGTCACCTGCTCCACAAGCTGCTGGCCCACATCGCCACTTGGAGCTGCAGGCTCCGGTAGGACTGACTCACCTGTGAATTTCAGGAGGACAAAAACAAGCTCCTTTTCTCGTGCTTTCTGACACTGCTAAGGATGGAGGCTGCTGCAAGCATGTGGCCCACACGGCAACTCACACTTTCTGCCTCACACAGGATGTGGTCCCAGGCTATTCCAGTGGGTAACTCTCTCACAGTGGGTTACAGCTACTGGAAAACTAAGTGTCTAGTAATGTCACCGATGCCACTTTGCATCTTGTGACTCACTGCTACCATCATGGGCATCTATGTCTACATTTAACAACAGATCTTGGACTGTCTCGCATTCTTTCTTGGAAACAACAGTGATCTAGCAGTGGAAAGAATTGCAGTGCTCCGTTTTCATTGGCTGTGTTGAGGAATCCAACCAAAGGGAAAAGTTCTTTCAAAATCATATTTTCTTATCTCTGGTTTTGAGTCACAGCTGGGGAAAAAAGAAAAACAAAAAGAAGAAGGTAAGGTACATTCCTGTAGGGAATAACGCATTATCAACACAGATAAAGAAGCGCCTATCACGCACACAGTGCTCCCTAGGTACACCTTAGGGCACAGCCAAGCACTTTCTTGTAAGGCAAAGGATTAATTATCCTCAGCTATCCCTAAATTAACAGGAGCTTAAAGAAGCTAAGGACTTGCTCTTATTTTTCTGTTTGGGCAATGGCTATCAGAATGAAACTCTTCACTGTTCTCTCTGTGTGAGCTCATGTGTACAGATGTGCACTTGGGAAACTGTGGGTGCCATTCTTCAAGGACAGGCATTCTAACTGTCCTGGAGCTCAGCAATTAGACTGCACAGGATAGGCAGCGAACTCTGGAATCCATCTGTGAGCACCAGGATCATAAAGAAATGCTACGGCACCTGGCTTTTTAATGTGGGTTCTAGGGATCAAACACTTAATCAATTGAGCCATCTCTACAGTTTGTCCATATTCTTATTTTTTTTTTTAAATTTACTTATTTCAGCTAGGGTTGTTACAGAGAAACCCTATCATCAAAAACCAAAACCAAACAAAAAAAGAAAGAAAAAATTCATTTATGTGCACTGGTGGGTTTTTTTTCTTTCTTTCTT